TATAAACTGCAGCGTCCTGGGTTGTGCGCCCCTCCGCAGCGCTCCCAGTCCTGCCTCCAGGTCGGGGCACGTCTCTGCCCTTTGTGCTTCTAAAACCGCCAGCCGCTCCCAGTTCGCTGGTGCGACCCCGCCATTCCAGGTTTCCGCCCCAGCGGCTGCCCTAAAGTCCTTTCCCTGCTGCTACCGGTCTGAGAGTCTGTGCCCGCCCCCAGCGTGCGAGGCTGTCACTCACCGGCAGTGTAGGATCCCCACGGCCAGGCACCCTCCCGCTGCCGTTTATCCCCCAATATCTGCCCGAGGAATCACAGCTCCCCGCCTCGTACCTCAAAACCAACCGCCTGCGATATTCTGCTTGTAGAGATCCAGATCTTCTTACATCTCAGGCTGGTTTCGTGGGTGCTCAGAGTGGTCTGGTAGATATCCAGTTCAATTCTGGGGACCAGTTGAAATAGGGTCCCCTACTCTTCCACCATCTCTCCCCCCCCTCAATTGCGAATCCAGGCTCCAGCTTTTAGGCAAGTTTCTCTATCTGCTGACAGCATAGCCATCCCCATTCTTCTTTTTTAGACATTCCCCAACCATTTTCAGACATTTACTTTTTCAGAAGAACTTCAGAATTAGTCACGTGGTCCAAAACTACTCTTTTGGGATTGTGATTGGAATAGCTTGAAGCTACCCAGGGACTTGGGGTTGACGTCTTGCAAAACGGAGCCTGCTGGCCGGGTGCTCCTGGCAGCTCTCCAGGCTGTCTGGTGCCGCCCTCTGCTGGGCTGTCTCAGGCCTTCCCACTCGGCTCCTCCACCCAGCCTCTGATTCTGTCCTCTAGAAAGAACAAATTCCTATACATCCTTGGTCTAATTTCTTTCCTTCCCCAGATGACATATGGATTTTAATATGAACTATGAGAACCAAAGCCCAGAGTGGACTTGTAGAATCCCCAGGCCCTGCAGCAGAAGCCGTGGGGAAATACTTTTTTGTGAGGAACGCTTTCTTTGCTCCCCGCAAACCACACCCCATAAGGCAGACACTGAACACAGGTGTGACTGGCCCTGAGTAGCCAGGCTCCAGTTGATACTTTTTTTTAAACAGCTTTATTATTATAGGTTATCATCAACTTCCCTCATTTTAAATGTACAATTAAATGATTTTTTAGTGAATGTAGAGTTGTGCAACCATCACTAAATCCAGTTTGGGAACATTTCTGCCACCCCCAAAAAGACCCCTCATGCCCATGTATGGTCTTCCTCTGGAATGTCACTTTGCCCTGAGCACAACAACATCAGGAGAAGTGAGGGGGAGAGTGGGAGGGTTCCCAAGATCTTCTGCCTGTGAGTCTAGCACCAATGTCCCAACAACATGCAGCGCATGCACATGACTTGCCAGCTATCACCCCTTGCCCCAAGGAGACCTCGTGGGGGCTGCTCCTGAGGGCAGTGGCCACGCTGAGCCCCATCCTAACCCCTTCCAGGTGGATAAAGTTTGAAGAAAAGGTAGAGGAAGGAGGCGAACGCTGGAGCAAGCCCCACGTGTCCACACTGTCGCTGCACAGCCTCTTCGAGCTGCGGACCTGCTTGCAGACGGGGACGGTGCTGCTGGATTTGGACAGCGGCTCCTTACCACAGATCATAGGTGAGGCAGGGACCGCTGGGGCCCCAGAAAGCCATGGCAGCCTTGTGCCCACACCTGGTCTGTGTGACGCCCGCCTGATTCTGCGGACACCAGGCTCTGGGTCTGACACTCCCAAGACAGCGGCACAATGGCTCCAGGTCTGGGGCCCATGTAAAGCTCATTCCCTGAAACGCCATCCTGCAAGGGAGCAAAAAGGAGAGGGGCTTCCTAGCGTTGTCAGAGATAACCTATTGCCATGGCAACCTGTTTCTTGTCAGAGTAAAGGGATCATCATTCATCTTTAGGAAATTAGCTCTCATTTAGTGGAGCGGTGAAGGGAGACCATAAGGCTGGCCTTATTATCCCTAAAACGTTTTGCCAATTTTGTTCTACTACATTCAAATTTGCCACAAGTATTTTGTCCCAAATGCTTTTCTAAAAGGAATTCGTGTTAGGACTAAAACCATCGAACACAGAACTTTTGTGCTTCTTAGGCTACTTCATTGACTTTTCACAATAGTGCCGATAGAGCACAGAATTGTATATACACACACACAGACGCACACGTGTGCACATACCCAAAGGCCTGTGACCTCGTGTTTCCACAGTTTGTGGCAAAGCTGGGACTATTTCCACATCTCCTGCCTCCTTTAGTCACTTTTAATCCCACTGATAATAGATGAAACTGAAGACCCCCACACTCCTGGTCCTTCTGTCCCACATAGATGAGGCATGTCTGTTCCCCACTTAGATGACGTCATTGAGAAGCAAATTGAGGACGGCCTCCTGCGGCCCGAGCTCCGGGAGAGGGTCAGCTATGTCCTCCTGAGGAAACACCGTCACCAAACCAAGAAGCCCATCCACCGCTCCTTGGTTGACATTGGAAAGTCTGTCTCCTCCACCACCAGTGAGTTGGGCCATATGCTGGTGGGCAGTGGGCATGTGGGGGCTGGTGTCAAGTCCCAGGGTCTGGGTGAGCCCACCTTGGTGGCTGGAGAGTCTTGGCAACGTGGAGGTTTCCTGAACTTCATGATCCTGGAGAAATTCTGAGGTTCTGGGGATCCCTCCACGTCCTTCTATGGCAGGCCTGCAGAGACCTCAGCCATACCCCAGTGTTGTCCCCAGCAGCAGAACAGAACTAGTCCTAGGAAAAGAGCTGGTTCTCAGCCTGGGCTGCACATGGCGATCACCTGGGGGTATGAAACATGTCCCAGTGCCTCAGCCTCACCCTGAGAGCTGGATTCAGTTGATCTGGGGGATGGCCTGGGAACAGGGAGTTTAGAAAGCTCCCCAGGAGATTCTCTTGTGTGGTTAGGATTGCAAAATGCTGGTAGAGATGGCATGTATGTGGAAAGAGCTTGAAAGTCTCCCACTGAACCCCCAAGAAGAGCCAAGAGCCTTGGCAGAAAATGAAGCACATCAAGGCGATAGAAGGTTCTGGGTTCATCTCAAGTGTGCCAGGGCTTGTAGATCTGGCAGCTGTGTCACTGTGATTGACAGAGCCTGGGGCCATTAGGGAGAGTGGATTGTTCCAAGCACACATCTCCAACCTGCAACTCTCCACTCTTGATACTGCAGAGTCGAGATGCCCAGACAGTAGCCTTGCTGAACCTGCCAGATAAATGCAGCAATCAGAACAAAGTTGATGAGGTTGCTAAAGAAGGAATCTTAAGGAATCTCTTTAGATGAATTGTTTAAAATGGAAAGTGTTTAGCATATGATAATAACAGCAGGTGTAGAATCAGCACTTAGCATGTTCCGGGCACTATTCTGAGTGCTTCGCATGTATTAACTCACTTCATCTTCACAGTAACCCTGTGGCTAGGTACTGTTCTTGTTATCCGCATTTTACAGATGAGCAGCCTGAGGCACCAAGAGACTAAGTTACTTGCCTAAGATCACACAGCTAGTAAGTGGTGGAGTCAGGGATGAACCCAGCTGTCTACGACACCTGCTGCCTATTTAACAATTGTGTATCTATCTCATTCTCAAGAGTACAAATATTTTCTCTGTAATCTTGTTCAGACTGTTAACTTACTCAAAAGCAAAATATAAAACAACCAAAATAGGCTTTCTTCCAGAAAGGGGAAGAGACACGTCTCAAGGCCCAGCTTTGTTCAGGTGGAATGACTGGAAATGTAAGCCATGCTGACAGCAAGGCTGCTGACGCCAAATCCCTTCTGTTCCTCCTCCCAGATCGCAGCCCGGCCCGGAGCCCAGCGGCTGGTCCGAGCCTCCACCACTCCACCGAGGACCTGAGGATGCGGCAAAGTGCCAGTTACGGCCGGCTGTGTGAGTGTGTTCTCAGCAGCTGCCCGTGGCGGCTGGGGAATGCCAGCTTCCGTAAGCTTTCGTGGGTGGGGGAGATAAAGGCCAGGACCTGTCTAGAATTCCCAGGACAGGCATTGGGAGAAATCTAACCTTCACCCCAAACCCGGGCTGTCTTTGGGGCCTAACTTACTACCCTAAGTGTTTAGGTAACTGCTCTGACAGATGCAACTCTAAATCAAATGCTGGCATAATCAGTACCCAATCCTATGGTGCTAGGCATTTTTGTCTTAGTCTGTACCTTTGTTTCCCCCGGAATGGTCATCAGTCCCGTTTTTGGTAAGAAGTCTTCCTCGAAACTGAATTAGAAACAGGCTAGGGACTTTCCTCTGCCATGCCTGGATGACAGCCTTGTGCACCACGACCATGGGATGCTGGCAGTCACAGCCCCCCCCCCCCGCATCCTGGGAATGGGTGCGGGTACTTGTGAGGTGAACGGTCACAGACAGGGCTTTTCAGGCAGTTCATCGGAGGGAACACACAGGTGAGCTGTGAAGCAAAGAAAAGAGAGAATCTGCAAAATGGAAAGAAAAGAGTGAGAAGAGTATGTTCCTTTAAGTACTTTTACTAAAAGGCCAAGATATGAATAAGTTATGTCAGCTGTGCCCTGACCAGGCCCAACGAATGATTTGGAGGGCAGTGTGGGCCCTGGCCAAGGGCTCAGCTACAGTCTTTTCTCTCTGTTGTTGGTGGCCCCGGGTCCCCAGTCTTCCTGGCCTTGGTTATTCCACATAGGGATGCCAGGAGGCAGCAGGTAACGAATGGCTCTGGGGCGAGCCTGCCTCCCAGTTGTTCATTGTGTCTGAGATCACCGTTATGGCCAACACTGCGGTGAAGGAAGCCTGGAGAAAATGTCCTGTGTGCACACCATCCCACCCCGGGGTGGCCCCTGGAAGGCTCAAAGAGGAGACACGCCTGAGTCTTGGAGAACAAATAGGGGTTTTCCAGGAGCACATGGTAGGGTGGGGGCGACGCAGGAGAGGGGTGTTCCAAACAAAGGAAACGAACAGCAGAAGGAAGGCACTGTGAAGGGGGCAGTTCACTTCATGAGGAGGGCAGGGCCTGAGGGCAAGAGGATCAAACTGAAGAGGGCCCACATGCCCTGCAAAAGGACCCTCCCTGCCTCTACTGTGAAGGTAATGGGGACCTCTGAGTTTTAAGCAGAGGCAAACCATGATCCCGGTGCATTGAGTTTAAGGTGCCAGGTGGGGCTGCCCAGTGGATTCTGGGGCTCGAGAGAGAGGTATAGAGTGGAGACCCAATCTGGACATCCTCAGCCCAGGGTGGGTATGAAGCAATGGGGGATGGAGGGGGTGAAGCCTCTGCAGGGAGTGAAGGCAAAGCAAGGCCCTGAGCCCAGCAGGTGAGGATCCTGGATACAAGTAAGAAGAAGGGAGCCAAGAGAGGGCAGAGTTCTGGCAGCTAGAGTATGCCACAGGCCACAGAAAGCCAAGAAATAACAGGTCTGAGAATGCCCATTGGATGCGGCTGCTGCTGGGGAATGAGAGCTGACTTTCTCCTCCCTTAACGGGGGAAGGAACCATTGGGCAGTTCAGATAATTTGCCATCACTGTTCTCCCCACAAGAGAGCCCCGCCTTCCTTCCTTCTGCCGGCCAAATCCTTGACCATCTTGCAACACGCACATGGGTCATGGGGGAGTCCAAGTCCAAGCTCAGTGACACCTGGCACCTCACCTGATAATGTGTCTGTGTCCCTCCCCTCCTTCAGGGCCTGGCACAGAGCAGACATCTCGGTCTCTGCCCAAGGGGGCTGGGCAGAGGGGTAGCGAGCAGCAGACTGAGGAGTGAGAAGGGAAGAGAGAGAAGAAGAGGGAGCAGAGGCTAGCTCCAGGGGCTGAGGGATGAGGGGGAGGGGGTCTTGCTTTGGTTATGAAGCCAGGAGAAGCATGTGTAGGGACCAAGGGAAAAGGACCTGCAAGAGCCTGACTTCGCCTTCTTTTCCTTCTCTCCCAGGTCACGCCCAGAGCAGAAGCATGAATGATATTTCTCGCACCCCAAACACAGACCAGGTAGACCCTACACTTGGCTGCAGTGAAGGCCCAGGGCAGAAAGGCGCCTTTGGTTTCAGGGGCAGGGAGGCCCTACAGACAGAACTTCATTCCCATGAGGGAATAGGAGTCCCCAGGAAGGACCCGGGTGGGGGCTCTGGGCTGCCTTGGTGACTAGCCAGCCCATCAGTCAGGTACTGACCAAGCCCAATATGCTGGTGCCATGCCAGGCACTAGGGGGAGTGGGGGACAGAGAAGCATATCAGGTGAGGGGCCAGCCGTCCCTGAGCTTGGGATTTGTTGGACAGAGAAGACCAGCACACAGCCTCACCTCCTCCATGGCCGGACACCCATTGTGGAAGAGCCAACTCCCACCTGCTTGGGCCGCAGGGGGCTGGGGGATGAGGCCTGCTGTCCAGCAAGCCTGGGCTCTCTTGTCTGACGCCTCCGCTCACACTGCAATTGAGCAAAGTTGCCACCCATCAAGGAATGTCTTAGGGATCCAGTCATTGCCTGTTCACTTGGTCCTGGTGTTAACCCATTTTGAGTCTTCTCATCCAGAAATAGGGCAAAGGATTTGGTTATTTCAGTCTCCTGAGAAATGCTTGGAGAATTTAAAGTCAGGCCTTCACAGCAATCTGGATGAGAGCTAAAACCACTGATGAGAGTATCCATGGGCATCTTGTTTCCCCTCTCCCTGACCAGCGGAAAAACAAATTCATGAAGAAGATCCCCAAGGACTCAGAAGCCTCCAACGTGCTCGTGGGCGAGGTGGACTTCCTGGACCAGCCGTTCATCGCCTTCGTGCGTCTCATCCAGTCAGCCATGCTGGGAGGAGTGACTGAGGTGCCTGTCCCCACCAGGTGAGGGCCACTGAAATCTGACCCCCCTCACCTGCCTGAGGGAAACCAGCTGTCCATGTAGTGGGCACAAAGGGCTGTTGGAAACACCCCTAAAATATAGAAGGAAAATCAGTCAATTGCTGGGGAGGGAAATCTGACTAGGAGAGAGTTTTAGAGTTAATTTAAAATAATCATAAAAAAGAGGGAGCTGAGACAGACACCGTTGGCTGGGCTTGGGCAACAAGACAATGGTGAGGATGCTCAAGGGGGAGCTGGTGGAAGCAAAGAAGAGATGTCTTTCCGGAGCAAATACGGGATTCAAAGGAGGGAAGGGACAAGTGTGTGGTCAATTCATGAGTTAAGAATGAATAATGTCCAGGGCCAGAGAATCCCTCTCTTCACCTGCTTCAATTTGTCCTTCTCGCTTCCTCCACCTCCTCCTCCTTCCTCTTCTTTGCAGATTTCTGTTCATACTGCTTGGACCTTCTGGGAGAGCAAAATCCTACAATGAAATTGGCCGTGCCATTGCAACCCTCATGGTAGACGATGTAAGTGGTAACAAGAAGCATGTACTCCTGACTGTCATGGCTCCCGCATCAAGCACTGGGCCTTCATTCACTCACTTATCCAACAGGCCCATTGGAGCACCTACTGTGTTGCCAGGCTTGTGCAGGGCGCTGAGGGTTATGAGAATCAGGGGGCCGTCACTGCCCTTTAGAAGCACCAATCACGGGGGAGGGACAGACCTGTAATTCTGAAGTGAACCACATGCTAACTGTCCTGGCAGCCAAGCGAGGCCTCACACAGGAGAGGGCTTTACACTAAGGATGAGCAGGAGTGAGGTCGACCCTGCAGAAGCCTGAGAGGCAGGCATTCCAAATGAAGGGAAAAGGAGCCAAAGCTTGGAGATGGAGAAGCTGAATAAAAGTGGTTCAGCTTAGGCTCAGTGTAAGAACTTCAAGAGCAGGAGGGGAGCCCGAGATGACATGGAGCCTGGAGGCACAGCCTAGAGCTCTCTCTGTCCCAGGAGTGAATGGGAGCCTAGAAGATGTTCAACACAGACGGGATCTGTACGTCAGAAAGAACGCCCTGAAGACATCTGGAAGGATGCAGCCTAACCTTCCAAGGATGAGGCACTAGGAAGTTATAATCAGATCTAAAATATCTGAGATTTTGGGACTGGGCTCTGAACAGGTTTTCAAATGAGCTTGCTCCATGCCAAACTGAAAGCAGAAAGGTTAGGTGATTGAGCCAAAGTCCTACAGCTAGGACACGGAGACCTGGCCTTCAGGTCTTTGCCCAAGGCCCGCTGCTCCCCACTGTGCTGAATTTCACCTGCAGGGCTCTGTCCTTCCTTCCCTACAGACAGAGAGTAAGCTGGTAGGAGTAAAGGTTCAGAGGGATTTTCTCTGACACTATACGGGATGTGCTCCCAGGAGGTGGCTAAGAAGCAGACCTCAGCAAGATGTCCCCTTCCTCTTCCCTTGCCAGCTCTTCAGTGACGTGGCCTATAAAGCCCGGAATCGGGAAGACCTGATAGCAGGGATTGATGAGTTTCTGGATGAGGTCATCGTCCTTCCTCCTGGAGAATGGGACCCAAATATCCGAATTGAGCCCCCCAAGAAGGTGCCCTCTGCTGATAAGAGGTGTGTGTGTGGATGGAGAGGTGGCGAGGAGGGAAGTGGTTCAAAGGGAGTTCTGCGTCTGTCCATGGCTTTTCTGGTCAGCATAGACGGGGTTGTGGTATTTCTTCTCCTGGTGTCATTTTATTTCTTAAAAAAGAAAAGAAAAGAAAGCAATATGCTGCATGTGAACATCTGTAACATCTGGGTGACCTGTGCATGGGTACCGTGACATCATCTGCATCTGTCTCTGTCTTTTAAGATATTTCATGTTTTTTGTTGGAGAGGTAAGAGGTGTTCTTGGGACAGTTCTGGAGGGCCTAAGCTCGTCCCAGGATTGGGAGCGCCATCGCCCTCTGCCCCCTTGCTCCTTACAGGAAATCCGTGTTCTCGCTGATGGAGCTAGGCCAGATGAACGGCTCTGCAGGGGGAGGCGGCGGGGCGGCTGCAGGAGGCGGCGGCGGAGGCTCTGGCGGTGGCGGCGGGGCCGGCGGAGGGAGCAGCGGGGATGACGGAGAGATGCCAGCCATGCACGAAATCGGGGAAGAGCTAATCTGGACGGGAAGGTGCCCACCCCAGGCCTGACGGTGACGCCAGCCAACCTTTAGGCTTGTCTCCTTCTCACCCAGCTGCGGGAACCTTCCCCCAGCTCTGCCTGCAGCGCCCCCTCCCGGCCATGGGGTCTGGCCGCTGCACTCTTTTCCTCCCCGCACCTTCAAAACCCCGCTGGATCTGGCGAAAGGGTTGTGGCAGGAGAAGGGAAGTGGGGCCCAGCACTGGAGTGGAGGCACCCGAATTTTCTCTAGACTCTGTTCCTGTATGAGTCTTCTAGGGCTGTCCTAACAAAGTGTCATATTCTAGGTGGCTTAAGCAATAGAAGTTTTCTCTCACAGTTCTGGAGGGTAGAAGTTCCAAATCAAGGCATTGGCAGGGCCAACTCCCTCTGAGACCCTGGGTGGCATCCTTACTTCCCTCTCTCCAGCTTCTGGCGGTGACCGGCCATCCTCAGTGTCCTTAGCTTGCAGCGGTGTGGCTCCAGTCTCTGTGTCTGTCCTCACCTGGTGTTCTCCCCATGTGTCTTCCTGGGGCACTTTCCTCTTCTTCTGAGGACACGAGTCATATTGGATTAAGACCCACCCCCATGACCTCATCTTAACTTGATTACATCAGCAAAGACCCTATTTCCCTATAAGATCACATTCACAGGTACTGGGGTTAGGATTTCAATGTGTCTTTGGGGGTGACACAATTCATAACAGTACCATTTGAATTTTTTTCCCTTTTTTCTTTCTTTAAGAGAGAGAGAGGGTGAGAGACTTTGGGTTGGGTTTCCTTGCTGGCTCTTAGAATAATTCAGGTTTCTCTGAATTTAGGAAAGGACATGGCCCTGCAAAGCTATGTGTAAATTATGATTTTGAGAACGGAGTCATGTTTTATATGCCTTTGGCTCTATGCCAGCCAGTAGTTCCAAATTGGGGGTAGCTTTGCCTGCACCCCCATCCTCCCCCAGGACACATTTGGCAATGTCCAGAGACATTTTTGTGTGCCACAACTAGAGGGGGATGCTGCTGGCATCTAGTGGACAGATGCTACGAGGCACAGGGCAGCCCTACAACAAAGGATTACCCAGCCCGACTTGTCAGTAGTACCAAAGCCGAGAAACCCTGCTCCATGCCAAGCGTTGCCTTAGGAGCTGTGGGGGAATAGTAGACCCAATAAACACTGTCCCTAAACCTGAAATTCCCCACTCAATTGTTCCAGAGAATAAAGAAACCAGTTATAAGATTCAGAACCTGCCCGTGATGAATATCGGATGTCTCTTTCTCCTAAAGTTGGACACACCTGTATTCACCAAGCACAGGCAGATGCCCTGCAGATGATCAGGGACATCTCTGAGGAGGACGTCTAGGACTTCTGTGGACCCCACGATTTCCATTCCCCATGGAATGTTAGGTCTACTCCAGGACATGTCCCCATCAGGCCTCCCCTCTCTCGCATCCAGGCTGTCATGACCACCTTTCCAGTGAGGATGATGCTGACCACAAACTTTCATTCTTGCAAAAAATCCTTCCCTGCCTTTAAATGTTCTGGTAGAAAGGTCCCTCTAGTCAAGTTCCCTTCCTCGCCCCAGATTCTGCAGGCTCCTGTAAATAGCCCTGCCCCTGTGCTGGTGTTTGTGGGGAGAAAGCAGCCCCTGGGCCTGTCTTGAGCAGGTTCTTCGGTGGCCTGCTTCTGGATATCAAGAGGAAGCTGCCCTGGTTCCCAAGTGACTTCTATGACGGCTTCCACATCCAGTCCATCTCTGCCATCCTATTCATCTACCTCGGCTGCATCACCAACGCAATCACCTTTGGTGGGCTTCTGGGGGATGCCACTGACAATTATCAGGTGTGTGTGAGCTGTGGACAGGAGTGCAAACCTCCATAAAATCTGATGCCACCAGGTGGCGGTAAGGAGCTTCATCCCGTAATCCCAAAACCAAGGCTTGGGTTTCATCCACCATGGGGTTCAGACTATCATTTTTAGTAATCCTTTACCCTTCAAAAAATAATAAGCCAATAGTATTAAAAGACCTAAAGCTAAATCATGTTACTAAAGTCCAAATGTAAGGATGACATAAATAGATCAAACTTGTTCAACGTTTATTTTATGTATTAAGTAGTATTAATTGCACTATATGTTTTTTTGTTAATTTTTATTATTGAAGGGTAGTTGACATGCAATGTTATATTAGTTTTCAGATATACAACATAGTGATTTTGGGAGGAGAGGGCCCAAAATAAAAGATGAGCACTGTGGCCTGAGCCCGTGGCTGGATTCTAACCTATGCCAAGAGGCCCCTTCTCCTGCCTCCATTGAGCCTCATACTCTTCATGCCCCCAGGGAGTGATGGAGAGCTTCCTGGGCACTGCCATGGCCGGCGCCTTGTTCTGCCTCTTCTCGGGACAGCCTCTCATCATCCTCAGCAGCACAGGGCCCATCCTCATCTTTGAGAAGCTCCTCTTCGACTTCAGCAAGTAGGTGCCCTTGGTAGCTCCCGGTGCCTGCTCTCACACCTGGGGCAGTATACCAAGGCCAGGATAAGGGAAGAGGCCCAAAAGGGAGGCAGGGGTGAGGAGGCACCAAAGCTGCCTTTATTACCTATGGGAAGGACTGTCAGGTGGTCCCTCCTGACTCCCTCCAGCTACCTGCCTTTAGCCATCCTAGTGCATTTTAGCATAGCTGATAGGGAGACATCAAGGCAAGACAAGAGGAGACAATTCTCACTGATGTGTAAACAGTTATGTCTGGAAGTCAGTGCGGTCTTGAGCTGGAGGTCTGAGGGCTATGCCCTGAACCAGGCAGCTCCTGTCACAACTCTGGGCTCAGTTGCCTCATCTACAACATGAGGCCAGTTAAAGGCCTCCCCCAGCTCTGTCACTCTGATATTCCCTGTTGTTCATTCACCCTGGGTGTTTGTTACCAAATGTGTAAGAATTGAGATGTCTTAGCACCTTCCTGCCACCCCCATGAGATTCTTTCCCAGAATTTATGAAGATGAGACAACCCCACCCAGGAATTGTCCCTGTCCCTAGTCCTCTCACATTTCCTAGGAGGGCATTTGTGCCACAGGAGGGACAGGTGAGCCACTAAGAGTGGGTCTGGGGAGCCAAGCACATACAAGAGCCCTGGGCTCAAGGCCCCTTCCTTCCCTCTGTCTTCCAGAGGCAATGGTCTGGACTACATGGAGTTCCGCCTCTGGATTGGCCTCCACTCAGCCATCCAGTGCCTTATCCTGGTGGCCACAGATGCCAGCTTTATCATCAAGTATATCACCCGCTTCACAGAAGAGGGCTTCTCCACCCTTATCAGCTTCATCTTCATCTATGATGCCATCAAGAAGATGATTGGTGCCTTCAAGTACTACCCCATCAATATGGACTTTAAGCCTGACTCCATCACCACCTACAAATGCGAGTGTGTCGCCCCCGACACAGGTGACCGGTAATCCCAGATGTGCCCTGGGCTCCCACCCACTCACTCTCCCCCCACCACAGCTCTCTACTGAAATGTAGGAGATACCACCATGAGAGGTATCAGCCCCCTTGGGTGGTAACAAGTGACCTGAACACTACCTGGATGTCCATCTGCCAAGGGTGATGTAAAAAGAATTCCTGGGGCGCCCGAGTGGCTCAGTCAGTTAAGCGCTGACTCTTGGTTTTGGCTCAGGTCATGATCTCAGGGTCATAAGATCGAGCCCCGGATCAGGCAGGTGGATCCTGCTTAAGATTCTCTCTCCCCCTCTCCCTCTGCTCCCCACCATCCCTGCTAGTTTGCTCTCTTAAAAAAAAAAAAAAATTCCTGCACTGGGTGGGAGGTTGAATCAACCACTGGTCAACCTGATAATACTTGGTACTGTTCCTGTGGAATTCCTTACTGACCAGAAAAGTGTCATCTGTATAGTTAGGGCTTCCTGTAGTCTCAACCACTGGCCTCCCTTCACAGTCCTCCTCATGCCCTCAGAGCCTTCAGTGGACTGTGCCTGGGGGGGCCAGGATGCTGCAGAGCAGGGACACCCATAAATAGGTAGATCTAGAGAGAGAGAGAGAGACCCATCCATATGTCTCTGAGCACCACCAAGCTGGACTCACAGAGAGCAAATTGAGGTCCAGAGACCACCTAAGGTCACACTGAACCTCAGTTTCCCTAGCTGTGAAAGAGGGATATCAATGCTGGCTCTGCCGGTCTCATGGAACTCTTGTGAGGCTTTCAAATCTATACCCAGATCGGATTGGAGTTTGACACAAGTAGATTTTATGTTGTTTAGCACTTTAACACATGTTGTTGATAAAAGATTGATCATAAGTCAATCAAAAATATTTACTGTACAGTCACCATGTACTTGCTTTAGACTAGGCCTCATGGAGAGGAAGACGTCCTGACCTTAGGGAGTATAGTTTTGGTTATACCCTCTCTCCCTCTGTCACTGCACTGGTTTTGTAAAGAAGTCTAGACTTAATTTTTTTCTATCATTCATTTAGAGTTATTTCATTAAAATCCAACAATAGGTGAAGCTACTGTTTGTCCCAAGCCAGAACATGTTGGTGCCCAGGGGATGGAAGAGATCCTACCTGCAGGCCCTTTTCATTCTGCCCTGGAGTGAATCTCTCCTCTGTGGCCTGGGCCTCCTCAGGGCACTCCCATTTGCTGCTTGTGCCCACTGGACGGTGGTTTTGTTGCACTGACTGAACACCAATGTTCCCACAAACATGGCTTTTGGAAGTACACGGCCTCGATCTCTTTTAGAGACAGTCCAAATTCTGGGGTCATATGTGGCACTTTGGTCATTCTGAGAATCATCTGTCCACAGGAGAAACCAAACATAGACATACCCTAAGAACAGGGGACATAGGAGCATACAAGGTTGGATTTGAGGGCTGTAATAAAATCTACTTGCCTCCAAATAGCGCCCCCTCTGGCCTTGCCCAGGTGCCTGATGTCACCTCATTATTTTGGGTCACTCTATTGCCATGGTTCTCAAAGTGTGGTTCCCAGAAGCAGCCTTAGCACCTCCGGGAACTTGTTAGAAATAAATATTCTTGGGCCTCACCCCACACCTGCTAATCAGAAGCTCTGGGGTAGGGCGAGCTGTACAATAAGAAGCCTTCCAGGTGATTCTGACGCATGCTTAAGTTTGAGAACCATTGCTCTGTTGAACTATTAATTAGTAATACATAGTCATTACTAGCCACTAACCCTGGTCAGATTAGATTTTCAGTTTCTTCACCAAGAGTAAAGAAACTGGAATCAGGACAAGTTAGTTTTGATTAGAATATGAAAGGAAAGTTCTCAACAACAGGAGATAGGGGAGGGGAGAACTAAGTGAGGAGGGTTTCTTTCCCAGTCCCTGGGCCACTTGCTTACAAAATGTTCCACGTTCCTAGCTTTACTGCAAAGCCCAATCTGGCCAAGGCACCCTCTCAGTCTTCCCCACTCTTCATCCTAAGAGCTTGTTGTGTGGGTGCGCTCTTTTTAAATTTAATCTTGTTTCCATTGTAACTGATTTGTATTCTATTTATGGATGCTGCACACACTGATTGGCTGCTTTCAATCCCAAGTGAGTACCACTTTGTAAACACTAGAATTTAAAAATATTTGATACTTGGACCCTTTCTGGAATTTTTCCATGTTATATTTCATCCTTCTTCATCTCAAAGTGACTTTCAGATAACTCTACCCAATATAAAAGAATGGCTAAGCCTAAACAGAAGACATCAAAGGAGTGTCTGGTCTGACAAGCTTGGGCAATGGAAAGGCGCCTGAACTCTCCAGGCTCAAGCGTTAGCTGGGAGTCCTCTAGTGTTTGTGTGGGTAGCCCTGAGTTAGCCTTCTTGCCCACTTTCTCTGCTCTGTTGTTAATTGTGCATCGTGTTCTCTTGGTCAGTGGTGTGAAGTAAGGCAGCAGATGTCCTGATTTCTGTAAGTGAAGCTTTCTTCAGAATAATCATAACAAACCTCTGGTTTGTAGAACTTTTAGGAATATTCTGCCCTGGGTCAAGACTGAATTCCTTAGTCACTCCCAGCCCCAACTGGCCCAGAAGTAGGCAACACGGAGGGGCCCTGTGATCACATCCACCCTGTGACAGCTTGTTGGAAGTTGAGGGAAGCTTCAAGAATAGCCTCTACTTCACTCTGGCTTCCTAACCAACCATGGAGAGCCAGCAGGAGCCAAATGGCTTGCAGTACATTTCAGATTTATTGCCAGCAAACTGGCTAGCTGGCCTCCTCCCTCTCTCCCCAAACCTGCTGCACTGGAGCTACTTAATGGAGAGGGGCCAGGGCGCAATGAGCTGCCCCCACAAGGGAAGCCACTCCTGGGCTCTGAGCAATGGTGGGAGATGGAAAAGCTGGGGGCCTGGTGGGGGCTGAAGGCTCCTAACCCAGCAGCTGCTGACCCATCCCATGTCCTGTGCTCATCCACAGCAAATACAACCATGTTCAATGCTTCAGCCCTGCTGCCACCAAACACCAACACTTCTCTGGTAAGTGTCCTCTCCTCTTACTCAGACATTCGAGGGCTTTTGTCTGTGGGGAGAGTGAGAGAAGTTGGGAAACAGAGACTGGGCTTGCCATTTTATGGCAAGCCAGACTTGTAGAGGTCAGTCCCAGCTACACATCAGGGTCACCCATGGAGCTCTGTAAATGCGTACTTTTATTGTAAGTATATATTGTCAAAACCTCCCCTTTTAAACCTGTCTCATCCTATTAAATCCGTGTGTATAAATATCACACACACAGGCTCACACACATGAAGGGGAGGTAGAGGTGAGGAATGGTAAATAGGGCTGCAGAAACAACAGTATAAACCCAGTTTCCCAGCTGGCTTTTTACCCTCTTCCTTGCCTTTCAACCTAGCACCTCCATCTCCCACCTAACAGTGCCACTCCCCAGCCCCAGAAAGGTTATTAATGCTACCCCCCTCGCTGAATCTGATCTGTCCTGTGCGCTCACGAGTCCCTGTCAGTTCTGGTCTGCCCCTCCCCAGAACGATGAGCAGTGGCCCTCAGGAGAGGGGCCCGGCCTGAGTGGCTCCAATGGTGGGAAGTCCAAAAGCAGGAGAAGAGCAGCTCCTGGTGGGCTTTGGGGGAGATCTTTGGACTTTCTGTGTCCCTGGGGTTGCTCCTTTAGTCACTCCTGCAGAGGCAGCCAACTGCTCAGCTGGCAACTTAACCTAAGGTCTTTCAAATATCTGGTTTCGAGTGAGGAAGAATGGAATCAGCCAGTGCCTAAGCCTGGATACTTACTATGTGCGAGGTGCTGTGTGCACTCTGAGGGCTAAAAGGACATAAAAAACCAGATGTGGCCCTTGCCTGCCCTCCAACTTGCGTGTGATGTACGTGTGGAGATGAGCATGAAGGCTAATGGGACAGCAGAAGCAGAGTATGCCATGTGCCAAATATAGGCCAAACGTGTCCTTCCAGCCACGGAGACAGGAGGCACCCCACAAGCTGGAGAGGAAAGCCTCAGAGAGAAAGTGGAATGTGGTCTGGCCTTGAAGGTCGGGAAAGTGGGTTCCCTAGAGAGAAGCGCCTTCCAGGCCCAGGGACCAGCACAGACAGAAGGGCAAATAAGGAAAACACAAACCGTGTTCCGAGGACAGGGAGCGGACCAGGCCGGCCGAGACAGCAGGAGGGTGTGGCCCTGCACAGGGGAAGCCCACGAGATGAGCGGGGACAGAGCTGTGGGGCCAGCCTGGTGGGGCAGTGGAGGCATGCAGCCCGGCTGGGGGCAGCCTTACTAGCTTCGGTGACTGAGGGAGGCCCTGACACGCAGCAGATGTCTTGCAAATCTGGATTTCTCTCTTCACATGGTATTTTCTGATCCCGGGCTTTCCCACAGTGTGGCAGTCTCACATTGCCCAGAGGGTGAGCGCAGATCCGGCAAGGCCCCTCAAGGCCTCGGCTCCAGACCCTGCTCAAAGCCACTTCCTCCCCATTCCACTGGTCTGAGCAGACCCAGGGCCAGGCCAGATTCAAAAGGGTGGAGAAATAGACCACTTTTTGATGGGAGAACTGTTGGTGTGACATGGAGGAGTGTGGACACAGGGAGGCACGATTCATTGGAAACCACTGTTATATCGAAGTCCCACACTCCTCTTAATCCAAACATTCACTACACGTGGTTACAAACACCTGTTTACTTCATTTTGCTGGTTCCTGAATATTTACAATAATTTTTTGAAATATATATTAAATTTTATTATAAATTACTCTGCTTTTATTACACTTAGAAACATATGCATGTGAACATATACGTGTGTATACACATGTATGTCTATATATGCACTCATATACATACACTTAGAGATATATATCTATGTGTGTGTATATATATATATATACATACATAGTTGTACATATATAGATATTTCTATATATGTAATTGTTTTGTGTACCCTGGACTTTAAGCATCTAGACACGAAAAGGGGAAGTGACTGACCCAAGAGAGATCTGACAAGGGTCAGGTGTAAGCCCCAATATGTGAAAAGGTGTGCACAGGGGAAGGAAAAGGAAGAATAAATGTGACATACTCCAGGAAAGAGATCCATAGTTGACTGAGCTGGTAGCCAAGCGTGCTGTAGGAGAGGGCATCCCACCCTCTGAGCTGCTTCTCCTCAATAACTCAGCAGTGCAATCTAAAACACACTGAAGAAACACGTGTTCACTCCTGCTCTGCCCAGGGGCCCTGCTGTTTGTTGTTCCTTGACACAGCCTGTCTCCAGGAACATAATTCTGTTGCTGGGCCCCGTGGAGGATGGGAGGGGTGCGTGGGCTGCCTGAGGGACTCTAGGGGCAAGGATACAGCTGACTCCCCAGGAAGGCCCTGACCCTTTCTCTCCTGTGCTTGGTCTCCAAGTACAACCCCCTTAACCTCACAGCACTGGACTGGTCTCTGCTGAGCAAGAAGGAATGTCTGAACTACGGTGGGCAGCTGCTCGGGAATTCCTGTCAGTTCATCCCTGACCTGGCACTCATGTCCTTCATCCTTTTCTTTGGGACGTACTCCATGACCCTGACACTGAAGAAGTTCAAATTCAGCCGCTATTTCCCGACCAAGGTAAGCTTGCCCTGCCCTGAGTATTTTTCTCAATATTTCATAAAGACTAAATAAAAGACTCTTTAGGAGGTTTTGCAGTGTACGAGCTGAGGAAAAAATAGCGTGCTTGCAACACAAATGCATCCTCAAGACAAACTCCCTCTCTTCCTCCCTACTCCCAACCAGAGCGTAGCCAAGTCACCTTTTATGTAAAAGATCTAGAGCAGTGATTGCATCTGAGAATGTCTATTTCCTGAAGGATGAAATATAATTCATATAGTAGGAAATTCTTTTATCACTATTTCCCCCCTTAAATTTCTTACAAATTGCTCTGTTGCCTTCTGGAATTTAGTGTTGCAGAGAAGAATGACACCATGCCACTGCATACCCATCAGATTGGTAAAGATATGAAGGTCTTGGGATACCAAGTGTTGGAGGTGAAAAGCAGGTGGGAGTGTAAATAGGCACAAGCAATTCAGAGAACTGGCACTCTCTGGTAGAGCTAAAGATGGATATGATTTTCCAATGGGCATTTCCACTTCCAGGAATACACCCCAGAGAAATCCTCACATGTGTGCAAGAATATTCACAGAAGCATTGATTCTAAGAGGAAAGCAATGAAAACAAGCTAAGTTGATCTATCGACAGGAGAATGAAGAAACAAATGGGAAACAATCCTACATTAAGCTGCAGTTCATATACATGTGGACTACAACTATATCCACAAGGAAGAATAGCACCAACATAATGTTAGCAAATAAAGCAAATGGCAGAAGGTTACAAATAATATGAAACCATTTATGTAAAATTTTAAAACGTGCAAAACAATGCCATATTTTGTTTAGGGCTATATACCAATTTAGTAAAAGTATTAAGACATGGGAAGAATAAAGTCCAAATTCAGAGCAGTGGATCTCTCTAGAGAGCAGAGACAGGGATGCCACTGGATCACACAGAGGCATCGACTGAATGTGTATATTTTCATTTCTTAAGGTTCAGGGAGTTCACAGCTGTTTATCGTATCCATCTTTATGTTAGGTCAGACCATACGAAATGAAGTGCATTGGACTGTTTTGCCCTACCAAAAAATGGCAAAGTCATATGGTTTAACTTAATAACTTTTTGATCCGGATGCTGGGGATACTGCAGAAAAACAATTGTAAACCTGCACACTGCTTGGCTTACCTGATCACGGTGATATAAAGCTGTTACTGATTTTCAACTTTTAGAATCACGTTACAGATAAACCACAAAAGACATGTGTTGATGGAACACAATGTGAGTGTTCTCAGATTTGACAATGTAAAGATCCACAGGGAACGGTCACAGATGGAACAGGATGGGGAGGGGAGGTGGGGGAAGGGCTGCAGCTAGCCTCACGTGACGGAGCATGTGCGTGGCTGGCAAAGTCAGCAGAAAGAGAGGCTTCACTGTATAACTTGAAAGTACAAAGGAAACCCATAGAAAGAGTTTGAAAATAACTCTCAGGGCACCTGGGTGGCTCAGTCTTTAAGCATCTGCCTTCAGCTCAGGTCATGATCCCAGGGTCCTGGGATCGAGCTCTACATCAGGCTCCCTGCTCCATGGGAAGCCTGCTTCTCCCTCTCCCACTTCCCCTGCTTGTGTTCCCTCTCTTGCTGTGTCTCTCTCTGTTAAATAAATAGATAAAATCTTGAAAAAAAGAAAGAAAGAAAGAAAAAAGAACTCTCAAAGATTGGGACTGAGGAAAGGGCAGGAGGGACAGTGCAAGTAAGTCGAATCTTTATCAGTAGGTCATGCTTTAATTTAGTAAATCGAAATATAAAAGTATAGCATATTAGATAATGACATGGAAGAAATCACCAGAACAACTAAAATCAAGCAGACATAGGGGTACATCCGGAGTGAGGCAAGGTGAGGTGGGGGACTTGGCTTTCTACACCATGTGAGTTTTTAATTAATTATATGTTATTTTAATAACAATTTTAAAGGGGAGTAAGGGGTACAGGGAATGCATTCAGTGTGCTGTAACCTGCCCCTGCCCTTCCTAACTTCTTTCCCTGTTGTTCTCTGGAACCTGCTCTCTTTGAAGAGATATAGAAAAGGCGGCAGTGTGGACGTTGACGAGGCGGCGCGGGGTGGGGGTGGGGGCGGACCTGGCCTAGGATGGGCATCCTGAGACACAGGAGCCAGAGGTGAAGGCCATCTAGTGGACAGAAGGTCTGAGAGCAGACAGGGGTCCCCAGCAGAATCAGGGACCTCCCTCCCAGCCTAGATGGCAGTGCAGCCATCTGCCACAGATTTTCAGGAGGTAGGATTTCCTTTAGATCTAAGTTCAGCCTTGCCCTCAACCACCCTTTACGGGTGACCCAGTTCCGTCTTTCACACCAGAAAATGTTTTCAGCAGTGGCGCCATTAGTCACTGGCTAATAACAATTCCCACATTCACTAACCTATGCCAAGCCCTCTGAATGTGTCGTAGCTCACTTATGTCTATGAGGTAGGTGCTATCATTATGTCCATTTTACAGACGAAGAAACTGAGGCTCCAAGAGATGACCTGCTTCTCCAGGGTTGCACAGCTGGCAAGGGCAGAGCCAGGATTTGAGCCTCAGTCTGCTGACACTGAAGCCCAAGTTCTTACCCGTGCTCCTCATGCTGCCAGGGGAGGACTGAGCCCTCCAGGAGGAGGGTAGGTGCTTCCCTCACTTGCCCATCTCCTTCCTGCAGGTCCGGGCCCTGGTAGCTGACTTTTCCATTATTTTCTCCATCCTGCTGTTCTGTGGAATCGATGCCTGCTTCGGCCTGGCGACCCCCAAGCTGCATGTGCCCAGTGTCATCAAGGTTTGCCCCTGGCCCCTGCTCTGGGTGTTAGCCCTGCCTGCCCACCAGCTTCAGTGCCTTTCCCCTCTATGCCGATCATACTTCCATAGACTCTTAGCCAAGAAACCCAGGGGTTTCTCTGGGTATGCTCCACCCTTCCTCCACACAGCCTCCCAGCGGGTGGTCCCTTAGGATGGTAGGTTAGGGACATATTCAGAGTGAAATCCTGCTGTGGAGTTACGGAGTGGGGAAGGTGCTGAAACCCCCCCTCCAGCCCAGCAGAAGCCCCCTGATTTCCACTTACGGAGCTACAACCCCCTGGCTCCAGCAGTCTTTAAGCGGCGTCCCCTGGGGTCTGTTGAAAATGATCCCCTAGAACACTGATTCTCAAAGTGTGGTCCCCAGACTAACATCATCACATCATCACCTGAGAACTTGTTAGAAATGCATCTTCTCAGCCCCATCCCAGACCTGTGGAATCAGGAAGTCTGGGGATGGGGCCCAGAGTTCTGTATTTTAATAAGCACCGCCCACCCCCGAAAGGGCCTGCCAAGCTTGAGAATCACTGCTGCAGGAACTCCCCATCATTCCTGAGTTGGTGCTGTTTGCTCGTAGCTAAGCTCAGGCCCAGCTCCCTCACAAGGAGCGCCAACCACCTACACTAGGCGTGGAGGTACAGGTTCTAGAACTCACCCTCCCTGCCTTTGAGGGCTTGACCTCCTCATGGTTACTTCAGGGTTCTTGTAAGTAGCTTGAACACAAAAAGTACCTCTTTCTCTTAAGTAAAAGAAAAGATAGATTTCAGCCCAGCTCCTGCGTAGATAATCCCTTGTTCTTAATGTGCAAGTCTGAATTAATGTTTGGTGTTTTACAAACCATCCTGTAATGCTCCCCAGACAGGTGACTCAGAGGAGAGGCAGAAACGTCAGGCACCGGGCCCATCAGATTTCTTATTCTTGCCTGTTGGGCCTCGTTCCTGCTTCTTGTTACATTGCAGTTAGTGACTGCCAGATCTGTCCTCTGGCTGTGCACCTCCCTGGTCCCAATCAACCCCAGGGCAGCTGCCGCCGATGATCTTAGTGCCGCAGACACCATGCCCTTCCCGAGTCTGTCTGCATCTGTGGTCTCTTTACAGTTGCAGGTGTCTAATGTCTTGAAGGGAAAAGATTGCACTCAAAAAGCACCCCAGGTGGGGAGTGGTGGGAGGTCAGGGAGAGTGGGGCCCCGGGCAGCAAGTGCACTGGGACAAGGGAGAGAGGAAAGGGCTGTTTCCGTTTGCTCTGCTCAGCCCACACGGCCTGACCGAGGCTGGTTTGTGGCCCCCTTTGGGAAGAACCCGTGGTGGGTGTACCTGGCGAGCATCCTGCCCGCCCTGCTGGTGACCATCCTGATCTTCATGGACCAGCAGATCACCGCCGTCATAGTCAACCGGAAGGAGAACAAGCTGAGGGTAAGGCGGCCGCTAGGAGCAGGGCACAACCTCTTTCTTGCCCCAAGGTCAGAAGGAACAAAGAAGGGAGATGGTGCTTCTGTCAAAATGTGGGGCCATTTATAAAGCAAGATGTGAGGTCAGAAGACTAGAGTTCTGGTGCGTGTGTGGGGAAATGTGACCTCCAGATGTGGGTAAGGCCACCAGGGCCAGGACCAACCCCAGGCTGGGCCATTAGGCACAGGCTCCTTGCTTCTCCCGAAGTGATCTTCCAGCTCTGTGCCTCCTGACCAGGAACTTGGGAGTCCGAGAAAATCTGGGATTTTGACGCAGAACCGTGAGGCAGAGGAGAATCCTTAGCCCTTCTGGTCCCTGCACCTCCTCTCCCTGCCTCTGGGCAACCCTCTCCCCATCCCAATCTAGACCACTCTGAGCTTGGTCTAAAGCCTGCCCCGGCCAAGACCCCACGTTCAAGAATTGCTGAGCTATTGTCACCACTGGTAGGAGCCCTTCTTCCCAAGGACCCAAGCCCAGCACCTGTCCAAGCCCAAACACCCCTCTCCTCCCTTTCCTGTGTCCCTTCCCTAGCTCAACAAACCCTGGGGTTGGTGATGCCTGAGCACCTCAGGGTGGTGACACCCTAAGAGTACCTAATGAAGGCCGAGGGGAGCCTTTTAACCATGTTCCACAAAATGGCTGCTCTGGGGAGATTTCTGTCTCCCTTCCCCCAGACCAACAGGTGGTCAGGTGCAGACTCCCTAGACAGCTTTTCCCCTCCCACTGCCCCATGCAGAAGGCTGCTGGCTACCATCTGGACCTGTTCTGGGTGGGCATCCTCATGGCCCTGTGCTCCTTCATGGGGCTCCCCTGGTATGTGGCGGCCACTGTCATCTCCATCGCCCACATCGACAGCCTCAAGATGGAGACGGAGACCAGCGCCCCTGGGGAGCAGCCCCAGTTCCTGGGGGTCAGGTAGGTGGGGAGCAGTGACTGGGGACTGCCTGAGCAGGGGTGTTTAGGTTGGGAGAAGGGAAGCAGGTTTTTCTTACTATCGAGTTATCTGACAGCCCAGGAACTTGGAGGATAGGAGTGATATTCCTAAGGGAGAGGGAGGGAGACAAAAATTCAGTTCTAAGTGGTGCTTTTTTGGTAATGAATTGCAAGCAGTCCACCACCATGGCCCGCGTGCACACTGACCTCTTAGCTGCATGGGCTACTCAACGTCCCCACAGCCCCTATGACCTGTCCTTTTGTCTCCTCGTCTTCAAGACCCCCTGCCCCCACCGTCCCCCAACCTCTCCTGTGGGTGTGGGTCCTCCCCAGTCTCCATTCTTCCAGAGAGTCTTCCCAGGACCACTCCCACTCCCTAGGCGGTGGCCCATGGCCTGTCACTTCCATGCCCTCCTCCTCCTCCTCTCATGCCGGTGTCGGCTCCCTTACCTGTTACCGGCAGCCATATGCATCTTCTACCTCTTAGGGCCTCCGAGGTGAGCCCACATCAGACACTGGCTGTCCAGAGAGTTTTTCCTCACTGCCTTGGGATACCTGGGCTACACAGCCTGCGCCGGATGAGCCTTCTCTGGCCAGGGCAGGGTCTCCTCCTGGACTCCTGAGCCCCAGATGACTGGGTCTGAGCAATCTGCCCCCGACCCCCCAGCTCTCACCTGGATTGGGCCTGGCTGGGCATTCAGGAAAACATACCTACTCTCCTGCCCCTCCCACCTACTCTGCCAGCAGCTGGGCCCCCTCGCTCTGATTCCTCTTAGTCATGCCCCACAGACGAAGGATCTTCCTGCAGTCGAAGGGCAGGGATCATAAGCAGTGCACATACCCATTTCATCCTCACAACTCCCAAGGCGGTTGCCACTATCTTGCTTCTACTGAGGCTGAAGACATTTAGGGCCTCGCCTGTTGCCACACAGCTGAGTGGCAGAGCCACACCCAGGTCAGTCTGGCGGCAGCACGTCTACTATTAGTCACTGCACTGGACACCCTCCCAAATGCCCCTACATCTGCCTCAGTCAAGGCTCCCTCTCTTCCCATGTGCCGGTCAGCTGGGCCTCAGACAGGTTTACTCTCTGGAATGGGGGAACAGGGCAGAGGCCAGGGCGTGGACACAACTGTTAGGTGCACACGAGGGCCAGAGGGCTAGAATGGTCAGGGGGCATCTCCCAGTCCACCCTGACTGTGTGCCGTTGTCTGCCAGGGAACAAAGAGTGACCGGCACCATTGTCTTCATCCTGACGGGCATCTCCGTCTTCCTGGCTCCTGTCCTGAAGGTGAGGCTCTACACCCTCCACCAGGGCGCCATCCACCTAAGAAAGCACTGGCCTGATGCCTCAGAGGTGGGGAGAGGGTCTCCACATGGACCCTAAAGAGGCAGGACCCAAAGAGATGTTTCACCACCGTCCTTGTTTTCTGGAACATTGCATCGCTTATTAGCACCAGGCAATCCTCACTGCTCTTTCCACTCCTCCCAGGGTCCATCCTCCCCTTTCTGGAGATGCTCCTCCCTCAGAAAGCTTGGCCAAGTTCCATCCTGTTGTTGTTTTTTTTTTTTTTTAAGATTTTATTTATTTATTTTTTAGAGAGTGAGAGAGAAACAGCATGAGAGAGGAGAGGGTCAGAGGGAGAAGCAGGCTCCCCGCTGAGCCGGGAGCCCGATGTGGGACTCGATCCCAGGACCCTGGGATCATGACCTGAGCCGAAGGCAGACGCTTAACCATCTGAGCCACTCAGGCACCCCCTGTTGTTGTTTTTTTAAGATATTATTTATTTATTTGTCAGAGAGCGAGAGTGCTCACAAGCAGGGAGAGCTGCAGGCAGAGAGAAAAACAAGCTCCCTGCTGAGCAAGGAGCCTGATGCAGGACTTGAGCCCAGGACCCTGGGATCATGACCTGAGCCGAAGGCAGACACTTAACTGACTGAGCCACCCAGGCGTCCTTGGCCAAGTTCCATCCTTGCTTAGATCAGGAGCTTCCTGAGCTGGTTGTGTCTCCACATTGTGGTTTATGGCTCACTAGACATCTCTTTGCTCACTGGTTTTCTGAAGTTTCAAATTTCTGAGGAGAATGTTTCTGTAGATTTTCCTGTGCCCTGTTCTCTGCTCCTCTGTCTTGCATGTCTTGGGCACAAAACTGATTTTTTCCCCCCAACACAGTTTGAAGATCCTTTGGCTCACATCCCTCCAGACCAACTGGAAGAGATGAAATCAAATGAGAGTACATTCAGAGTATGCGTCCACGAATACTCTTTCTGCTCAGGTTTCTCCATCTCTCCAATTCAGCCACTTACCTATTGTGTTCATTTGCTGCATACAATACCACAGACTGGGCAGCTTAAACAACACTTACTTTCTTACCGTTCTGGAGGCTAGAAGTTTGTGATCAGAGTGTCGCTAGCTTTGGTCTCTTCTGAAGCCAGATATAGGGAAATGTTAATTATTACTCTGGCCAACATGGAAAAATTTCCATGGGTCCGCATGGCTCCAAGCACTCTGATACTGTTTTTGTATTCAATGACAAATGATTTGAAAAATCCTACCCCCCCCAAAAAATCTTACCCATGTTCTTTGATAATAAGTGTAGAAAAAATATAATATTTTATTCACCACCAATTAATCTATTTGATAAATTTTATAACAGAGAAGACCTATCTAGATTTTTATTGATCATAAGATTTAGGATTTCTTATTTGATTGTATTAAAGTACATAAAGTATATATTTTCATTTTATTTGTTTATATTTTTATACCTTTTTTTTTTAAAGATTTTATTTATTTATTTGACAGAGAGAGAGCGAAAGCAGGAACACAAGCAGGGGGAGTGGGAGAGGCAGAAGCAGACTCCCTGCTGAGCAGGGAGCCTGATGTGGGATTGATCCCAGGACCCTGGGACCATGACCTGAGCCGAAGGCAGATGCTTAACGACTGAGCCACCCAGGCGCCCATTTTTTATACCTTTTTTTAAAGATAGGCTTTCAGAGGAAGTCAACAACTTTGCACATACTTCTTCAGAGACTGAATCCACCCAAAACTGCTCCTGGGAATGAGAGCTCAAGTGTCCTTGAGGCAGACCTTCCCCGTCACAACCTGACAACTATCCAGATGTCTTCCATCTTAACCAAGCAAAATAAAATCATTTCTAACAACAGCAACAGAAAAAAAGATTGGCTTTCAAAATTGTTTTAGTTAAGTGATTAAAGCATTATCACTAGCTGACACCAGTACTAATTTTGACACTAGTGCTAATTTGGCAAGATAGCCAAAGATTTGCAAATTGGTGATGATGGCTGAAGACTATCACTGATCTTCTAGCAGTAAAAATCACTGTGTCTGAATCAGGGCAACCATCCATTGTGAGAGAGATTTCATCCCTTACTGCTCAAAGTAGTAAGGCTAATTTTAGGTTAAAGGGAAGATATTTTGTATAGCCAGTTCAAGAAAAATATAACTTAACCCAGATCTGAGGTTCTAGATTTAATCCCAGCATTTATTTCCAATAAGAAAAATCTTCCAGGGCGTCTGGGTGGCTCAGTCGGTTAAGCATCTGCCTTTGGCTCAGGTCATGATCTCAGGATCCTGGGATTGAGCCCTACGTCAGCCTCCCTGCTCAGCAGGGAGTCTACTACTCCCTCTCCATCTGCCCCTCCCCCTTTGCTTGTGCTCTCTCTCAAATAAATAAAATCTTAAAAAAAATTTTTTCCAAAAAGCTTATTTAACTTTTTGCAACGGTAGGTTTACCCATGTCTGTCAAATTAGGCATAGCTGAGTACATACCAGATTCAGAGAACTTACATTGGAGAGCCGTCTACCTAAGACATTGGTTGAGATCTTTAATTTTTTTAAGATTTATTTATTTATTTGGGGGGCGGACAGAGGGAGAGGAAGAGAGAGAATCCTCAAGCAGACTCACTGCTGAGCATGGAGCCCTTCGCAGGGCTCAGTCCCAGGACCCTAAGATCATGACCTGAGCCGAAATCAAGAGTTGGACACATAACTGAGCCACCCAGACACCTTGGATCTTTAATTCTTGTTTATATAGCAGGGGAGAGATCACTTTGGTGCTACAAATTTTAGAGGGTACAAATTGGATCCTAATTATTAGTGTTTTTATTTTTATCAGTGTTTCTAAATTAGTTATTAACTATACCTTTGTCCAATTCCTCCAGTAGAATTCTGCTCTAGGGCTTCTCAAATTTTAATGTGTATAAAAATCACCTCGGAGGGGCACCTGGGTGGCTCAGTCGGTTAAGTATCCGACTCTTGATCTCAGCTCAGGTCTTGATCTCAGGGTCATGAGTTCAAGCCCTGCATTGGGCTCTCAAAAAAAATTTATATATACACACATACACACACATACACACATTTTATGTATATACACAAATATAAACACACATTTTATGTATATACAATTTATATATATATAAAATTTATATATATGTATATATGTGAAAAAATATATCTATGAAAAAAATCACCTGGGAACCTTATTAAAGATACTAATATAACACTGTATGTTAACTATTCTGGAATTAGAATTAAAACTTAATAAAAAAAGATACTGATTCAGTAGGTCTGGGTAGGACCCAAAATTCTGCATTTTTAACAAGCTCACAGGCAATGCCAATAATGCTGGCCCAAAGACCCCACCTTGAGCAGTAAGGGATGAAATCTCTCTCTCAATGGATGGTTGCCCTGATTTAGACACAGTGATTTTTACTGCTAGAGGATCAGTGATAATCTTCAGCCCTGTCATCATCAATTTGCAAATCTTTGGTTATCTTGTCAAATTGAGGGCGTTGGAGGATGACGTGGCCACGTATCTGACAGGTGGCATGAACACCTTACCCATTCAGTTCTGCAGACCCCCTGTCCTTCCCAAGCCCTGAAGGGTTGTCCTGTTTTGTTTCATGTTTTGCTCGCACCTTGCCACCATTCTTCAGGACTGTGGATTTCAGCATTCTGCCTCAGAGGTACCCCTGGCCATATCAGAAGCCTCCCCTCTGAGCCCCATGAGTTCTCGTGGTCTCAGCTTCAAATCATATGGGAAGGCTGCAAGATCAAATGTCTTGGATTGAGGTTTACAGCATATGGGTCCAAATCATGGTTTGTGTTTAAAAAATGAACCCAGTCTAACTTATGTTAAAAAAAGGTTACTTATTTGGTTGGATTTATGGACATCCTAAGTGGCATCTAAAAGTTGAGCACAGGACTTAGCATTTGCCCACGTGTTCCAACATGACCACCCTAGAACCGAGGCAGAGCCTTGTTCACAGTGGCAAGCCAAAAGGGCAGATAAAGGGAAGGAGGAGGGGGTGCTGGGTGGCTAAGTCGGTTGAGCGTCCGATTCTTGATTTTGGCACAGGTCATGATCTCAGGGTTGTGAGATTGAGCCCCACATCAGGCTCCATGCTGGGCATGGCATGGAGTCTCCTTAAGATTCTCTCTCTCTCCTTCTCCCTCTGCCCCCCCCCCACCACTCACACATGCACATTCTCTCAAAAAAAAAAAAAAGTGGGGGAGGGGGCAGGATGAAAGAAGCAGAAACACAGCTTAGAGGGGCCCCTGGGTGGCTCAGTCGTTGAGCATCTGCCTTCGGCTCAGGTCACGATCCCAGAGTCCTGGGATCGAGCCCCACATTGGGCTCCCTGCTCGGCGGGAAGCCTGCTTCTCCCTCTCCCACTCCCCCTGCTTGTGTTCCTGCTCTTGCTATCTCTCTCTGTCAAATAAATAAATAAAATCTTAAAAAAAAAAAAGAAACACAGCTTAGAGAGACAGTAGAAAAATACGTCAAAAGGCTTCTAAAGAATCATAATGATGATTGTAGAACAGTATGAGTGATATGGTCCCATTTTTGAAAAAGCTAACAAACTACCTGTGAGCATGATCAGAAAGGAAAGATGCCCACCAAATCATTAGCGGTTAGTTGGCAATTAGTGGTGGTTGGTTTATCTATACACATCTGTTTTGCTTCTTTTTTTAATCCGATTGTGTAGGGTGTATAATTTTTGTTAATCAGCACCTACTCTCTGCTGATGGAGGTCAACTCAATAAAGGTCCCCAGAGCAATGAAGCTTTGTGGGGGGTCCTCAGCTGGGGCTGGAAGGGGGAAGGAGCTGACAAGAATAAGCAGGGGGCTTTCTATGGAGCTTTCCCATGTTCCAGAAGTTGTGTCTTCAGTCAAACCCCATGGCTTCAGCAGGGATGGAAGCAGGGCGGCCAGGCTGGGGGAGCCGCTGCCCAGAGAGAAGGGGGCAGGGCAGCCCTCCCCATCGACACTGGCTCCAGATCTACTCTCAGAGGCTCAGTTCCCCTAAACATCCAGCTCCTTCATGGCTTGGGGAAAGCCAAGGCAGACCAGCTTGCCTCCGTGACTTGGCAGACGCTGTCATACAGAACAGGGCAGCCAACAGCCTGCCCCCAGCAGAGATCCATTCGAAAGCTCTACTTCCCTCTCTCATTTCAGTACATCCCCATGCCCGTGCTGTATGGAGTCTTCCTCTACATGGGCGTGGCCTCCCTGAATGGCATCCAGGTAAGGCTCTCCCCACCCCACCGAGGCCCAGGCTGATCTAACCAGAGTCAACTCCCCACATCTGCTGCCATATTACCGAAACCCCAAGTGCTTGATTCCGCAGTTCAGTGGGAAAATAATGGTGATAAAGATACTACCATTTACTGTGTATCAAATCAAATCACTATAGCAGGCCCTTCATAGGTGTTCTATAATGAAATCTGTGTAAGTAGGTGCTGTGATCCCTATTTTACAGACGAGGAAACAGGTTCAGGATTCACAACCCCGATGGGGCTGACTCCAATGAGCATTTCACTACATCTCTCTTCTCTAAGGCAACTCTAGCGGAAGAAAACATTTTGTTTTGTTCTTTATTTAGCATGATACACCAGATGTCTTGGCTGTCTTTGTGTTGCAGTTAGTTGCATTTTCCTTGAATGGGGGCAGTGTTCCTTTGTGGCCGCCTCCAGGGCTGTACCCTGCAGGCAGGGTTCAGGCCTCCTCCCCTAAGGGCTCCCTGTGTGTCCTCCTAGACCTGCAGTCCCCCTCCTGTGCATTCTTAGTCCAGACAAGGGGCTACCTCCTATGAGACCCCACCGCGTCACCCCTTCCCGCAGTCCCAAGCCCCCAGCAGGGCCACCTCCCTCACGGGGTCCCCACTGCTGGCTGAGCCTCGCGCTCTCCGCCAGTTCTGGGAACGCTGCAAGCTCTTCCTCATGCCGGCCAAGCACCAGCCGGACCACGCCTTCCTGCGGCACGTGCCCCTGCGCCGGATCCACCTCTTCACGCTGGTGCAGATACTCTGCCTGGCGGTGCTCTGGATCCTCAAGTCCACGATGGCCGCCATCATCTTCCCGGTCATGGTAAGGTGGGCGCGGGCTCCCCATCCTGCTTGGCCGATGGGGCCTGGGCAGGCGTCCTCAGGAGGGAGGTCCGCCGTTGCAGATGGCCTCTCTCAGGGTCACAGAAGCAAGCACAGATTCGGGTCGTGAGTCCAGGCCAGATAGAGAGGGGAGAGGGGGGCAGTGCAGGGGGACGGTGCGGGAGCCTGTGGGCTAATGCTTCGGGAAAGCCCTGGGTGGGCCCCAAAGCCTGCAGTGCTGGACTGGGGGCCAAAGTGAGTACACAGAGGTAGGATTTGAAATGTGCCCACCTGGGATTCTCAACCCTGGGGGACCATTAGAATCACTTGGGAGCTTTTTAAAACTGTGCCCAGGCCTCACCCCAGATCAATTAAATCAGTATCTCTTGGGGAAACCCAGGCATTGGTGTCTGTAATAAGTCTCTGCAGGTGGGCATAAATGTGCAGTCAAGGTTGAGAACCACCACTCTAAGGAAAGGGAAATGGATCCTCCCCAATAGGGCCCTCATGGGGTCTAGCGATAACAAGGGGAAAGGAAAAGAAATTATAGTCACCATTAGCATGTGTGGAGTGCTGTTTAATTTAATCCACAGCAGTAGTAGTAGTACTTTAAGTATACTTAAAGTATACTTTAGTACTACTACTAACCCTATTTTACAGGTGAGGAAACTGAGGCTCAGAGGGCATGTGTGAGTGACCCAACCATACAACCAGAAGGAGCTGAGCCAAGATCCATACCCTCCCCCTATTGATTTTTTTAATTTACATGCAGTAAAATTCACTATGTGGTTCTGTGAGTTTGGACAAATGCACAGATTAGTGGTTCCACAACTACAGTCATGATACAGAACAGTTCCATCATGCCTAAAATTCCCTCATGCCATTTCTGTTTTTTTTTTTTTAAGAGAGAGAGAAAGAGCATGCGTGCGCATGTGGGAGAGGGACAGAGAGAGAATCTTAAGCAGGCTCCATGCCTAGCACAGAGCCTGACAGGGGGTTCGATCTCACCACCTGGGCGGAAATCAAGAGTCGGACACTTAACTGATTGAGCCAGCCAGGCACCCCCCACCCCCTGCCATTTCTATGCAGACAGTGCCTCTTCCCACCCCTACCCCTAGCAACCACTAATTTGTTTTCAGAGCCAGGATTTTTAAAACCCAGGTCTGTCTAGCTCTCAAGCTCTACTTGCTCCCAAGAAGCGGGTCAGTTAGGAACCAGAGTTAAATCCAGCTGGCTGGTTTTCTCCCTGACCTCATTTAGTGGCCGGTTCTTGGTAGTGAAGGGGCAATATTTATAACTAGTTACCCTGGGCCCATTGAATTTATTAAAAGGCCAGTATTTAATCCTTCCCCAAAGCACACATTTTTCCCTTTGTGTATGCTGAACAGAACCAAACTTTCTAGACTTTACTGTAAAAATTCCTGATATCCCAGTACACTTTCTTCAGTGTACTTTATACTTGTTAACAGAGATTGGCAGCCCTCAGAAATAAGGACAGAGGGACAGTGGGTCTCAAAGCGTGATCTCTGATCCAGAAGTATCAACATCTCTTGGGAAACTTGTTAGAGATGCGGATTCTCAGGCCAGACCCAGACTTGCTGACTCAGAACCTCTGGGGGGTAGCCCCCAGCAATATGTGTATTAACAAGCCCTCCAGGTGTTTTGGTGGAAGCTCAAGTTTGAGGATCACTGATTTAAAGAATAACTGTAGGAGTTCTGTAGCCCTTGGTCTCTGCCTGGCTCCGAACCAGCTGTCACAGGCTCTGTTCCCTGGCTCATTGGTAGGCTTTGCCATTCAACTGAGGAAAGGCCAGATGAAAGGAACCAAGCGGGCAGGTGGTAAATGGTGGTTTGTCGGAGCTCTGAGATGGCTTCAAAGAGACCAGATAAAGTCCCTAAACATAGCTGACTGGGGGAGAAAAAACAATGTCTGAGTTTGGGGTCTTGAGCCCATGGTTTTCTCTGAACTCTCACCACAGATCCTGGGCCTCATCATTGTTCGAAGGCTTCTGGACCTCATCTTCTCCCAGCATGATCTGGCCTGGATTGACAACATCCTTCCAGAGAAGGAGAAGAAGGAGACAGATAAGAAGAAGAAGAGAAGGAAAGGGGCCCATGAGGACAGTGATGAGGAGGTGGGGAGGATGTGAGGCCAGGGCTGAGGGAAGAGATCAAGAAACCCTCCCTCCACTTCTGCCCAGGCCAGGGAGAGGGTGGGCTTTCAGGTGGCCAGCTATGATCACCTGGGCCTAGTGTGGCATGGGCTGAGGCTTCTGCCTGTGTTGGTGTGGGGTGCTAAGAGCTCGTCTGCTTATGGGAATATCCTCAGGGTGGGCCACAGTGAATGAGCACCACCCCCCCCAACAACCCAGGGAAAGGCTGGTTGCCACACCCATTCTTTCCCATTTCTGTGAGCTCCCGGGGCTGTTATCAACAAGCAGTGCAGGTCCTTGATGGACAGGGCAGAAGACTCAGCTCCATCATGGGGGAGGTTATGAGGACTGACCTCCAAAGAATGGAGCAGGTCTCGGGGGTAGAGTCTGATGGGCACCAATTAGTAGATTAGACTCCGGGACAGGTGGAAGGACTGGGAGCAAGGTTTGCTTGGCCTGCCTCTGGGGTATTAGGGAAGGTGGGCAGAGAGGCATATGTCCTCACTGAAAGGAGAGTGGCTACATTCCCCAGATGCTGGGGACCACCTGGTTGCCCCATCTACTCTTCTCTCATGCTTCCTCCTCATCCCACTTCCAAAACACTCAGGGAGTCAACAGACAGAAAGCCAGTCCAACTTAGAGTAAATCACGAAATGTGAACAGAAAGATTGTCTAGTTCAAGTGCTCATTACAGGTGATGAAACGATCCTCCAAAAGGGAAGTGGTTCACCCAAGATGGACATATGGTTAAATGTCTAAAGGGAATGAAGAATCCTGACTTTTTTTAATTTTAATTTTTTAAATTGTATTCATTTGAGAGAGAGCAAGAGCGGGGAGAGGGGCAGAGGGAGAGGGAGAAGCAGACTCCCCACTGAGCAGGGAGCCCAATGTAGGGCTTGATCCCAAGACCCTGAGATCATGACCTGAGCTGAAGGCAGATGCTGAACCAACTGAGCCACCTAGGTGCCCTCTGTTTCTGACTTTGATCATTTCCAATATGCTAAGCTGCCCATGCCATCTAGCAACATGCCTGGCTCCCATTCTCCCAGGTCTGACCTGAACCCACATCTCTGTATCCACCTGGAACTGTTAACAGTGATTTTGCCTTTTGCAGGTCAAAGCTGTCCATGGGCAAATCCTTGCTGACTGGTGGCAATCAAACCATCTTCTGATGGTAGTGATAGACCCAAACTCCCCTGGTCCTTAATTGCTTTCCTCTTCCAGGGAGAAAGAGGCCCATCATTCATTCACATGTTTTTCATTGATGATTTAGATGGTTTGCAAAGACAGGCCTTGAGAACAAAGAAACTGAGAGTCTAAGTGCCTTTTAAAAACAAATACTCTTTAATTGATTCATTCAATAAATATTTGAGTGGCTACCACGTGCCAGAAACTATTCCAGGGTTGGGGAAAAGCATGATATATTAATGGAAAAATGGGATTCAATTTGCACAAATCCACTTTACACATGTCTTTACAGCACCACCAGCTATTGTGTGAGATTCACTCCTGATTGGTTACTATGACAGTTGAAACTGTTCTGATAAATAATGTTCCTGGAAGAGTGTCCTGTTTAGGACAGCAGGCTAACTGTGATTGCCCCCCACTGAGCCCCAGAGTACTTGTAGCACCCCCTAACTGTTGAGACTGGAGATAGAGAGGATGGTGGTTGGCATATTGTGGATGCATGTATTTTCCATCTCTTGGCAACAAAGTCAAAGCTGTTGAGTTGGTGGTGTTTATCAGCTTTTCCCACTGTTTCTCTCCAGCCCCAGTTCCCTCCTCCCTCAGTTATAAAGATTCCCATGGAAAGTGTCCAATCAGATCCCCAAAATGGTATCCACTGCATTGCCAGTAAGTAAAACACATGGTGTCTCTCCCTTCCTACTTACTACTAATTCTCCACCTCTTCCTCCAAGGAACTTCCATCTTTAACTCAAGGGGACCGAATGGTCTTAGATGCTAGAGGACTCCTCTGGTAGGCAGAGTTCAGTGAGAACTGGGCCACCAGGATTCAGACTTCAACCAATGGAATCCCCAAATCAAAGCCTGCAGGTGCCTGTGATCAAGCTTCACTTCCATTTAGGCAGAGCCCCTCATTCTTTCCTTGCCCCTGGTGCCTCCTGATGCCTGTGGAGCCACCTGGCCCTCTCTTCAATGGTTTCAGACCACATGGATCCAAACATGACCCACTAAGCCTCCCAGGCTTTCCAGTGGTTGCTGAAAATGATTGAGGGTTCAAAGCTAAGCTGAGTTGTCCCCTTTAGAGAAACTGGTAGCATAGCATTTGGATCATAAATTAGCAGGGAAGGTCATAGAGAAGTTCCTCCTGCTGAAAGGGAGGCTGCCTGGGAGGGATCGGGCATTGCTCACGAAGATCCTGGGGGGTTCTATGGCTGCCTTTACCCCCTCCGAGCTTCGGCACCCTACCAGAGGACAGTCCTGTCATCAAGACCACAGCCTATCCTTGGAATAATCAGGAAGATCCCACTTGAGTCCTGACCTCGGTGTTCCTAACATAGGGCTTGAAACTTTCCGAAAAGACCCAGATTAGGATCCTGCCAGGGCCCTTGAGGGGCTTCCCATCACACTCTCCGTCATTAGTACCTCTTCTTTTTTAGTTGCTAACTCTCCTTCCTTCTCCTTCCCATTTGTATTCTTCCATCACCCTTCCTTACTCTGCCCTGGCCCTCCCCCACACCCACCTATCCTGGCTGAGAGCCCTCTGGAGAAGGAGTAACTGAGCCAGAAGCCATCCATCCTGATTTCCTCTTGTGTAGTGTTGGCTGTGGGGATTAGAGAACAGGAAGACAAGAGGGAAGCACTGGAGAAAGGTTTTCTCCAGCGTCCTCCTCAAACCTGCTCTACAACTGACATTTTAATTTTCCTGCCAGGAAAAAGATCTTCCAGTTGGAGTTACTCATTCTGATTCTTCCTTCAGTGACTCAGAACTCGACCGGAGGTAATGGCCATGAGGTAGACTCCTTGGGTATTAGATAAGAGACTAAGCAGTGGCCAGGAAGGCGGAGGGACTAGGATTTCCCAGGTTAGCCAGTGTCTCCGTAAAAGGCCTTTGCTGGTCCACCTTGGGAGACAGGTGGTCAGACCTGATTATTGGCGTCAAGTAACAAATATGTCCTTTTACTGACATGTCATGATTACACAAAGATCTTCTACTTTAGAAAAGGAAATTACAAAATACTATGTAAAATTGAAAACACTGGGGGAAAACAACATAGAGAAAAACTACACATGACTTAAGTATATATTATTGAATGCCAGGATAAATGAGCTCAAAGATCAAAATGCCAGATACTCCAGTAATATGTGGAATAAAGTAACAGCATGGTTAATTAGCAAAGGTCAGAAACCTAACTAAATATCAAAGATTAAGTGGAGCATGGAACTTCTGATCTCGGAGCCGTGAGTTCAAGCCCCAGGTTGGGCATAGAGATTCCTTAAAAAAAAAAAAAAAAAATGGAGAGAATAGTCAAGAAAGGATTCCAGGCCGTTTCCAGGGGCCCCCGTGCCTACTGTGATACCTTAGTGTTCTTAATGAGAAGCCATGAGAAAAGTGAACAACTTGATGATTGAAAACAAGGAGGGCTCAAAAATAGAAGAGAAATCCAGGGGCAAGAAAGTCAGCCTCAGCTATTACAGGGGAAGATGGTAGGGTGCTCCTACCTAGGGCCCTAAACTGGCTATCCCAAGTCTACAGGCAGATAAACCTGCAGACTTAGATGCACGCATCCAAGAGATTTTAGAAAACATGCACGAGATCGTCTGAGTTAGAAGTCAAAGCTGTTACATTTTGCCAGGATGAGAAGAGAAACACTGTAACAAGCCCCCCTAAGCAGCGGACCCAAGGCCACTCCAGCCCAGGAGGGTCATGCGTCCAAACTACATCCCTGCCTGTTTTCTCATCCCACCTCCCCAGTCAGGGTTCCTACACCATTACATGAATGCCATGGATTTTTATATATAAAGGTGTTGGGAGAAAAGCAGTCTATCCTGACTTTTCGTTTTTAAGTAGCCTACACCAAATTGAACCTCTCATTGCCCCAATCTCAGTCCGTGGAGAGAAAATATGGACCAGGATGAGGCATTTCCATATACAAACATGGGACAGCTACACTGGTGTTTTACCAACTCTATGTAAGTAGGTGGAAGCAGAGACCACTGAACAGGATTCCATTTCAGTGAAGGAAAAGGCTCAGCAACATGATCTAGTTTAAGCATCCAAGATCTACCAGGCATGATGTGTAATCCCTGGGGGTCTAGAAAGACAGGCCTGCCAACAAAGACATACAGCAGTGTGTGCCGAGAACAATGGGCACATGTAAGAGAAAGGACAGTGTCTAAGGGAGGGATCTGCCTTATCTGGACAGTCCAAGAACGATAAATAGGAGCCTGCCAGGTGTACAGAATAAAGAAGAAAAGAGACAAAAGAAGGGCATTTCAGGCAGTGGGAACACGCCTGAAATACTATTTGAAAATAGCAAAGACTGCTGGGCTGGACGGGCAAACTAGAAGTAATCAGAAGTGCAAACATAAAAGGCCCTGTCTGGCCACACTAGGAGCTTGGATTCTGTCTCTTGAATGGTGGGAATCACAGACAGATCTGTGATCCAGAAAGTTCGCCTTGGCAGCAATGTGAAGACCAGACTGAGACTTCTGGCGAGACTAGCTCAGCAAGCACAGCTGAAGGCCAAGCGCAGAGGATGTTGCTCATTGCCATGACGTGTTAAGAGCTCATAAGCAAGGACAAAACTACTTGCTTTAGAGCCCTCCTCTGGGGGATAGCGTGGAAAACACTAACTACTAGATAAATCACTCTCCCTTCCCTCTTTTTCTTATTTAGCATCACATTGCACTTCAAAATTTCCTGTCCAGCTTCACCTGCTTTCAACTATTCACAGAGCCCAGTGTTCATGGTGCCACAGGTGAAGATAGAAATGGAGTCAGACTGTGACTTCACAGATGTGGACAGATACGGAAGAGAAACTGACGGCGAGACCACCCTCTAGGACGCAGCTGTGCCCAGACAGGGCTTCCTCTTCACTGTGGGAGGACATGATTGCATCTTCACTGTGAGGTCTGGACCAGACCCCTAACTTCTCTGAGCCAGTTTCCTTATTTGCCAAACAGACGGAGTCATTCCACTTGATAGAAAACTGATCTGTGGATGAAAAGTACTACTTACATGCAAAGCTGTCTCCTTCTTTCTGCAGTTATGCAAACCAACAGAAACATGATACCTTATTTTAAAATGCAGTCCAGGATAGAACTTACAGTGTTTCTTGAAATGAAAACAGTGCTTGCCTCCCAAAATATAGCTAAGATAAAGGGGGCAATAATAAATTTTTATTGAAACAAATATCCGTTAGATTTCTTTTTTAAGCTTAGATTTTAAAATATCTAGATGGTCTTGAAAAAAAAACATTAAAATGCTCATACTTCAGTAGACCAAAGCTGGAAAATTTGTTTTGCAACTTGACATAGTAAGAAATGTGTAAAAGGCCCTATCTTCTCTTCCCATCTCGGGCAGCTTTCTAAGGCTCCTATGGCAAGTTTGCGCCATCTGCATGCTCTGTGGGCCCAGGGCCAGCACAGACGTGTGACTGGAGCTTCTCCAGACTGAAAAGCCAGTTCCCAAAGTCGGCTAATGAAAGAACCAACACATGAGAGCGAGCAAATGTTTTCAAAATAAAATTGTTCTTGTTAAAATGAAACTTCCAACCACATTACATCAACAAAATGATCCTTTAAATTAATATCATTGGTTTTTCACATTCAGAGTAAGACTTCTTTCTACCCTTGGGTAGATCCTGTCTACAAGTTTTCAATGACCTTGCTCCCAAAGTTAAACTCCCACCCACAGGACCACTCCATGTTAGGCAGTGCTAATGTAAAATATTAGATTATAACTTTGCAGTATTAGATTAGTACTTTAAAGGAATGATTGGAAACAAGTTGGGTAGATTAATAACTCATTAATATAAGCAGCAAACCCTGTCCTCATGAAACTTAATAGCAGTCTGTCTTTAGTCCCCACTTAACAAACACCAACCTTGCTTGTTTAACACCTACTATGTGCCTGACAGCCACAATGCAGCTGACATTTACTTTCTCCAAAACAACTATGGATTTGAATCTTGAGGAAATCACTTTGGTTAGTTACTACATTTACTCACGATGACCAAAGCAGGTGCTTTTTTTCTTCATCCTTTTCTAGTTTTTAAAGACAAACGACACTAGATCGTTAACACTTTGGGTATGAGGACAGCTAATTGCATCTGCGATCCTCAGAGCTTCATACAGTGCCTGGTCCCTAGAAAACTTTAAGTGTTTATTCAGTTAAATCTCAGAGCTCCCTTCCAAGGGATACTGCCAAGAGGTAAAGCTCTAAACCTCTCCCATTAACTGCTCACTCACCCAGAACCATCACCTGAATTTAAGGATAAATTCTGTATTTTCAGCTGCACCAATCCTGGGAGAGCTAACAATCAACCCTTAACATTTCAATTTTAAAACTTGGCTGATTTCCAATAGCACTTTGTCCAAATTAAACTGTAGAAATGTTATGGATTCTGGAGTAAATGTGCTTGATTAATGAAACAAGTTGGAAACTACAATGTTAATTTTTTGTTGTTGTAAATTGATCACTGTAATTTTCACCTTATATGTCATTTATATTTTGTATATACATGAACATTTTAATTTTGACAACTTTTAACAGGTGGACATATTGTTACTTCTCCATGTTCTAGGTCAGAATTTCTTTCCACTTATAACTGTAATTCAATAAAACTTAATCCTGTCTGCTCATCTTGCTCCATGTTTAGTAATTTTGGTCAAGTCAGCAAACATGGGATATGGACATGAGCTAACCCTCACAAAAACATCTCCAGCGGACTATTCTCTTTCATCTCCAGGAAACTATCCAAAGAATAAAGGCTGCGGCAGAAGAACAAAGAGAAGTCAGCTCCCCATTGTTCCTTTCTTTCTACCTGAAGCAGGCTGGAGCAGGAGCAGGAGGATCTGTCTGCTTGGAAGCCAAAATACTCCACGCTGGAAGAGAACAGAGAATACACAGGGGCCTATCCCAGCCTCAAAATATGCACAGCAAATACCTTCCAATCTGTCAAAATCAAACACACACATTGAAAAAATAATTGTATAGAGAGTGGGGCGCCTGAAGGGGGAGGGGGTTGTCAGCAGGCACATCAAGAAGTCCTTTGTAAAGCTAACAATGTGTAAATTCAACTGCATGGTTTAGAAAACACCCAGAATAAGCCTAACCACTTAAATGAATCTTACAGATTAAGCTCCCAGCTTGGCACAGCCTGTTGGGACATTAGACTGAAAGGACTAGACTGGTTTCTCTACAGCTGCGCTTTGTATCAGTTTGTTTAAGGCACAGGATTAGGTGTTACCAAATATAGGAATATTGACACCCGTTACATCTAATGAGAAAAATTAACTACGATTAGGTCACAACCAGGACAGTAGCAGGAAGATACAGTATTTTGGAGAACTCATTCCACACCAGTCAGAAGTGTTTTATTAAAAAAAAAAAAGTGAAACACACAAAAAAAACCCTTTTAATCAGAAAGTCTGATTAAATTCAATGTGAACTCAAGTTCTCAAAAACCCATTGGGGAAAGTCAACAAATACATCTGAGAAAAGCAGGCAGCTGCTGACAAGTCTTTGGTGGAAAAGTAAGTTCATACTTAAACAAGCTGCCCTAATCCTAATGATTATCAAGCCCAAGTTTTGTTTTTCAAAAATAGGTTTCAAGATATCCCAAGGAAACCATACAGACACCCCCAAGAGTACAAAGATATAACAGTGAAGTTTAAGGATAGAGGAAAAGCCAAATATGACAACACACACAAATAATCTATAAAATAAAATAAGCCTTTCAATCCTAGAGGAAAATGGGAAAGCCTCGTGAATATAATACACTTGGGACGAGGACTGATGCGGAACTACCCTAAATATTTTCCCAATGACTAAGCCACGGAATGACAGCTCAGGACACCAATCACAATTAGTTTTACATACCATAGGAATGTAAGTTACAGTAATGTTTTTTTCTACTCAATTATCATTTCTTCCTTTTGACTTTTTTCCTAATTTTCTCTAGCAACATTTTTCCTTTGGTTTGACCAGTTGAACTCAAAAGGCTTGGAACCTAAAGTGAGTATCAACTCTTATTGAAATAGCACTTAGGAAATGCAATCCTAGAAAAGGCAGATTTTAACTGAAGTGGCTTGACCCAGTTAAGCACCCGCTCTCAATGGGACGATGTCCTCCACGTTCATCACCAGGTGAACGGCTTCCCTTGGCCGGCTCCCACGACCCAGCAGGAGGCACGGCAGAGCCATGTGCACTGGCAGCCCCCCGCCATTTCTGCTTTCAATAAATACAAAAAGCATCATTTTAAACCCTTTCAGTAAAATAAATAAAAAATATTGCATTTCTATTGGCCTGTTCCGCCTCTCTGACCGGCTTGGAGTGGTGTTCGTGACAGAAGACACAACAGTTAATTGGTTGCTACTCCACGCTCCTTAGGCTTCAATACTTCCCGCTCTTCAAGCCTCAGCACCTTTTTTGCGGCAATAATGGTATTCTTCATCAGCATTGCCACTGTCATGGGACCAACACCCCCAGGGACTGGAGTGATGTAACCGGCTTTCTTTTTGACTCCTACATAGAAACAGGATGGGTAGACTGCCTTAATTATGGCAAAGGAAATGTATGCATCTTAATGTGCCGTGGAAGCAGTCAAAGAAAAAGAATATATATAAGCACCTTCGTAAGCCTCAAACTCATTAAAAAAAAAAAAAAAGTCCTATCTACATTACTCAGGGGTAAAGGCTTTTGAACATACTAAAAAAAGAACATGCATGTAATACGAGTTGTTCAATGAATATTTATACATCTAAATAACCTATAACTTACCATCCATACTTTTCCTCCCTATTAAATCAGTTTGAAAAGAAACACCTCAATGGGTTAACTCTATGTGAGGTATAACTATATTTATTCTATTATTAATATTAATATATTACCAATTAATACCTGCCTACAACATTTTCTTACTTTTATTTACTATTTATTGATTATATTTATTTAACTATACTGTTTGCCCAAAGCACCAAAGCCAAGTAATTTTATGGAAAGTGAGAAGTAAGATTTTTTCTAACCCAATCTTAAAGGAAAAATACTTAGATACCTAGGCTTGTGTCT